GCTGCCGCCTGCCTTGCAAGCCCAAGGACCCAAGTTCGATCCCTAGTACCAAAATAATAATAATAATAACAACAGTAAACAAACAAATAAATAAAAGCACTGCCAGGCTAGCCTGGACAATTTAGTGAGACCCTGCCTCAAAATGAAAACTAAAAATATTGAAATATAGCTAGCTCAGTGGTAAAGAGCCCTTGAATTCAGTCTCTAGTACAACAGGAAAAAAAATGATCTCATCTGGGTTTAGTATAGGTCAAAATATGTATCTTTCTATGAGGCACTCTGAGAAAGCCAATCGTCTCCAGCCTAGTAAATAGTAAAAGTCAAACAATTTGTCTGTTTAGAACTTAACTATCTTCAAGGGGAAAAAATGAAAACCAAGACCTGTCATGTAAAGATATAAGATCCCAATGATGGATGTGACTGTAATGTATACCTAAAATGTACCAATAAACTCAGAGAAAAAAAATTAACTGTTTTATGTAAAAATAACTATAAATGAATACTATATAACCCCACATGTGAAACTAAGTAATTTACCAGAGAATACTAATTCAAAGCATCATGTAAATATGCAGAAGGCATTCTCAGCCAGCTATATGGCTTTTCCTTGGAATTAAGGTAACATCCTATCCTAGTTAAATACATTTTGAAAAGTAACACAAGCCTAGCTTTCCATACAAATGATGTAACAGAGTAACGAAGCTCCAAGGATTTAAGGAGAAATCAGAGCACGTACTCTCCTCACACTTCCCGGGTGTCTCACTGGGGGGCCCACTACTAGAGGCTGCGCCTGTACCAGTGAGGTCCCACAGTCCTCCCCAGACCACTCGCAACGGCAGTCGCTGTGCTCAGCAGTCCAGTCACTCACAGGAAAGTCCCTTTCTTCTTTCAATCCTTGTTTCCAGGGCACAGACTGCTAATGTGAAAGCGCTTTTCTTAGCGAAACACAGGCAATCATGCTATCCCCTTGCCCTCATATCCAGAATAAAGATTTATGGATTTCACCAAGATTTAAAAATAGAAAGTGAATTCCCAGACAATAGTACCATACTTCCCAGTATCTCTACTACAGACTGCTGTTAATGAACAACCGTTCTGTGGAAATCAACGTGGAGATGCTTCGTAACAGCAAAATTAGACATTCCATTTGACCTGGATATTCTCCTTCTTGCTATTATCCCACAATTAAAAGCATCATGCCACAGCGATATATGCGCACCCATGTTTATAGTAGCACAGTTTGTAGTAGCTGAACTTGCAAACAGCTCAAATACCATCAACCAATGAATGGATAAAGATGATGCTTTTCTTTAAAATTCAATGGAGTATTACTGTGCCATAAAGAAAAATAAATGAGATATTTCTAGGTAAATGAATGTAGTTTGAGACCATAAAAACATGTGGCAGAAGAAAAGGGAGAAAGAAAGGAGGAGGTGAAGGGATAGAGAAAAAAATCCAGTCTGGGTGACAATATGTAAGTTTCTTCTATGTGATTCTTCCAAATCTAAAATCATTTTTAAAATCAACTGCCTTACATATACTTGGGAAATTTATGAAGAAGTGCTAAATCTGGAAAAGTTTAATAGTTTATACTTTAACAAAGAGGACATTTCTTGGGATTGGAGGACAAGTAGAGTAGTGCTTTTATTATAAAAGATTCATCATTTTTTTATTTATGGCCATGTATCATTTAAATTATATTTAGTTTTTAAAACTACCATTTCACCTATTAGATTTGCTAAAAATTTGAAGGCTGTTCATATCCATCAAACTTTTAAGTATCTATGAAAATTAGCACTGCTATTACATCATTGCTTTGTGGTATTCTGAAGGGTGATTAAACAATAAAGACTAAAACCAAAAGCATACATAACTGATGATCCAAAATGTTATAACTAAAAATCTATTATATAGAATTAGGAGCCAAACTAATTAGAATTTATACATAATTATATATATTAAAGCATTGTATGTTGCAGCAAAACAAATTTAGAAAAGTTAACCTACATTTCCCAAAGCAATGAAGCAGATTTACATTTATCATTCGTACTCTATCTCCAAAGACCAAACTGTAGAAAAATTCTTCTTGATTTCAAAAAATGTTTACCGTATAAGGGAAACAGAAAGTTACAAAATACTACCTATGATTCTGATCATACATTTATAAATAACTTCTACATAATGTATATAAGCTGAGAAAAGTTACTATTATATATATTACAAATGATTAATTCTTATCGTTCGTGGGAATAGAGCAGGAAGGTAGAGGGCAAATGATTTATTTCACTAAGTGCTTCTTTCATTCTTTGTAGCCATGTTTCAAATGTACTACAAGCCTAAGTGCAAAAAAAAAAAAAAAGACAACATTCAGCACTCAGCTTTAAGATACAAGACTTCAAAGGATTGAAAGTTTCTCTCATTTTTAAACTAACTTCATATTTTATAATGTTAAAGATTCAGTAAACTGACATAGGTACGACATCTCTCTGGTTTCTAAGTAGAGGTGCTTTCATCTAAAACTAAACTATTTTAGGTCAGGGCTCATGAAAGTATGGCCTTGTGGTCTAAATCTGGCCCATCACCTGTTTTCTTGTTTCTTTGTTGTTTCGCTATGACAAATAGTACACATCTATTTAAAAATTGATCACACCTACTTTTCGCACTAATAACTAATAACTGTTGCATAGCTGCAACAGTATCAACTTTAAAGTCTAGTCCCTTAAAGACAAGAAGTGCTGAACCACAACAGAATATAAAATAATTTATTGCTGGGTATTTCATTTCGTGTAACTTGAAGGCATATGATTAGGACATTAATCTGTTATCAAGAAGATCATTCTGATCTTGAAAAATGAGATACATGAGTATTAGAACTACAAAAGTAATTTCACTGTTTGTAAAATAAATGAGTGTTATAAAAGAAATGGAAAAATACCTAAGAATATAGCTAAAAAATACAGTCTAACAAAATGAAAAAGGAGACAGGGACCCCTACACATACTTATGAAATTTTTGAAACCTCAAAATCATATGTTTCTAAAAGTTACAGAATTTCAAATTAAGAGATTATCACATATCTTAAATTTTTTTATTCCTAAGAGTGATAAAATAGGTGATTATTTTTAGATGTGTCCACTGTACAAACTTATCTATAAAGACGCCTTGGGCAATGGACTTAGTTGTGTGATGAAAAGTACAGTTTAGGGTCCATGAGTACACAATGAAAACAGTATTTGTACTAACCTCACTTAGGTTAAAGGGTAAACTACAGAAAATAAAGAAAGAAATCAAGGTAATATGGTATAAACTAAAATCTCTTGAGTACACTGAGTTAACTCCAACCCCCAAGAAAATGGGGGTTACTTATACCACCCACAAGAAAATGATGGAACCACATGCGCTACAAAATGGTAACACCATACTCTACTGTCAGTGAAAAGATCTGGCTTTTCCTTATAGCTACAGTATTGATGGGATACACATCTTAGTTTTGAGCAAATAAGTTAAAACTCAATCTTAGATCTTAACCCAAAGTGAGGCCCACTATATTCAACAAGAATGGCAAATAGACTCTAGCCTAGAAAAATTAAGGACTTCAGATTATCATGTTTAACACTTTCCTAAAAACAGTAGGTTTCTAACGCAAATAAGGAAAGTACCATAAAAAATGGAAATACAACTGGCACATAGATGCCACTCAGCTAGTGAAAAAGCCTACATATAATATGGGATGCAATTTAATTGTCCATGGGGTCACATTAATTACAGTTCCCACACATTTCTCTTTCCAAACTCAAAACAAATATACATTGGGTAATATACCACAAGACAGAAGCAAAGACACTTTTAGAGCAGAGAGAAGTACTGAATATTCCAGGCAATCCCTTGCCAAGAAGCATGTCACTTCTATTGATGGACAATGCTTCTATAAAAGTTGTGACATACAGTGATGGCAATAAGGTCCCAGAGAGGAGAAATTAAAATATTTTGGTGATGCTGTAGATGAAACCAGTACATAAGGTACACACACACACACACATACACACACACACATACACGTTACTTGTCAACTCTTTCACCACCTAGGAGAAGACAGGAGACTGCAAATGGAAATAATAGGCTATCATAACGGAAGGTAAGGAGATAATAGAGTATGTATTGATTCTCCATAAAAAACTCCCACAATTCTAATGCTAAATAATTCCCAAGCAACAAAACATACTGTAGGTAAATGATGAAACTTACTTTCCTTCCTATGACCACTTGTTGTGATTTGAGCATCCATCTCCTCCTACTCCAAATTATTTTCATGCTATTTAAATACATATTTTTATTTATTTTTGGTACTGGGGAACAAACTCAGGACCTTGCGCTTGTGAGGAAGGCAGCAGCACCACTAAGCTAAAACCCTGGTCCCTTCATTCATTCCTTTAATCAGCATTTCCTGCATAGCTTCTTAGTGCTAATTTATACACAAGTTCCGGTGTTTAAAAGACACTGCACTAGAAGACACAAGTGACATAGTCTACGTTCCATAGTACTTTCTCAAAAGCCAAAAATCCACTATTAAAACAGTGACATGTACTCTCCACTTTTTTGGATGTTTCATGTACAATTTTTGGTGAAAAATAAAGTTAAGAAAATATGTATTTTAGCTTCTTTTTTTACAAGACAGAATCTAAGTAGTTCAAGTTGGCCTAGAATTATACTGCCCAGGCTGATCTCTGACTTGCAGTCTTCTTGTTTCAGCCTTCTAAGTAAGTGCTGGGCTTACAGGCAGGCACCACCATGCCTAGAATTCAACTTTTAATTTAATTTAATGTGGTCTAACAATAAGAGACAACTGTAAAATATTTGATGAAAACAACTTCAAAATACTAATATACAAAACCAAATAGTTTTAATGAAAATTTTACACAATTTAGACAAGAATCTAATCTATAACCAGTGTGGCCAAAAGAATATCATAAAAAATCAGAGTGAGGATTTACTGCTCTTACCTGGAAGAAAGATCTCTTTGGTCCTTGAAAGGCATGTGAAAGAAATAAAAAAGTAATGTTTGAAAGTAGGTATCAATCTCCTTTTACCTCTTCAACACTGGGATACATACTGCCCCTATATTCCACCTTACATATCTATTAACATTCAAATGCATCTTCAATCATGAACCTGGTAATAAAATTCAACTTGCCATTGTCATTACTGTCTACATTATTAGCATACAATTCGTCCTATTAATTTTGCTGACATCTTTTTAGACCACTTTTGCTTTTCTCCCTGATATGCGTATCGTCTCCCTCTGTCTACCAGTGACACATTTATTCCAAAACATTTGTGACAGTCAGAAAACTTAACATTTACTATGTATATAGACAAAAAGAGATTGTGGTCTCTCTTCATATCATGTCACTTTTTCCCCTCAAGATAGCATCACAAATAACTGGGACTACTATGCCAATGTGCCTGGTTTACATGGCATGTTTTACTGTCAGAGGAAATAAATCAAAATCTACATAATGTACATGTAAAACTGCACCCAAATTCAAGAATATCCTTTTTCTCTTCTACTGTATTTAATAAATGCTATATACTCTAACAGTTTGTATGCGTTATGGATTAACAGTTTGTATGAAGGATTAACTGGATTTTGAGCTATTACATATTCTCATGGATATGAGATGTGATGGGCGAAGGAAGGGGTTATCAGGGGTACAGAAGTTCTGGAGGTGGATATTATCAAAGTACATTATATACATTTATATATGTAAAGTACATTATATATACAAAATGAAAATAACTATTCTGTTTGTTTGTTTGTTTGTTTTGGTACCGGGGATCGAACTTGGGTCCTTGCACTTGCGAGGCAGGCCACCGAACCACTGAGCTTAAATCCCCAGCCCGAAAATAACTATTCTGTATACATAATATTCATTTATAGCCATTTAAAATTTTATAAAACAAATTGGATTCATTCTTAACTGCACAATGGAAGTTACTGGCTCTTGCTACTAATAAAATATATACAATGAGCCCAGGGAAATAGCTCAGAGTCACAGTGCTTGCTTAACAAGTGCAAGGTCCTGAATTCAATTCCCAATACCAAAAACAATAAAGAAAATTTGGGCTGGGGATTTAGGTCAGTGGTTCTGCTGCCTGCCTCGCAAGTGCAAGGTCCTGGTACAAAAAAAAAATAATAATACACACACACACACACACACACACACACAATGATATGGACTTATATGGAAATATCAGAGAGGGATCTAAAATTTCTAACATCTCAAACTGGTAACACCTAATCAAAAACTAGAAAATTAGATTTATCATGATCAATATATACATAGAAAAGTTCACAAGAAATAAGTAGTGACTTGGATTATATGAAAATATCATGCAGCAAAGGACCTAAAATTCTTAAAATGACTGCACTTGCACTTTAATAAGAACTGCAGGAAATAGGGACAAACTGTGATAGAAGGAAGTGGAAAGCAGCACTTTCTTCCTGAGCCGACTGTGTGGGAAGGACAGCTCAAACACATCAGTGGAATGGACCAGTGTACAAAGCAGACTGCAGTGTTTGGTGATTTATTAGGATTCAGTTATGTTCCAGGAGAGGACAGCTGGCCACCAGCCATTTTGGAAAGGGGCTAAGTTCAGAATTCACAGCAGCTTCGAGCTGGCTCCTTCAGGGTGATGCAGAACAGAGTTCAAGTCGGCAGGAAGTCAAGGAACCAACTTCAAGACCAAAGGAGGAACATGAACAACATGGGTATCAGACTTACATCCAGAAACCAGGCGGAGCTTCATAACTAAAGGGTAAATACAGGTTGGTAAAATTACTCACTACCCTTCCAAAAATAATGGCTGCCGTGTTGAGATTAATGAACACTGCAAGTGTTAATTAATTAATGACTCTGCAAGTCCACTTTGTCTAGTACTGACAAGAGAAACACATTAAGTGAACTTAAAAAAATTTTTGTTTGTTCATTTTTATATGTGAACACTTTTTCTAGTTTTGTTATTGGTCTGTTGTTTTTATCTTTCTTCTCTTTCCCTCCTGCCTTCTTAGCCAGTTTCCCAAAATCTACATGAGCTTCCTTTGTCCTTCAGCCTTCCTTCTAGTCTCTTGCTCTTCTTCTACTTGTTTTACTCCAAGCACTTTTAAATGTTCTCCCCCAAGGATGAAATTGGCACACTGAAGACATATTTATAATATATAATGTTCTGGTTCATTTAAGATTCTGTCATTTTCTAGGGTGAATCTGATGCTATCATTCTTCCTGATTGTACTGCTTTCGTCAAGGTGGCATAATTGTTCTAATGAGTTGTTCTTACTGATATGACCACATTGAGATGGCCTAAGGGTTATGAACAATACTATACACCAGTGCCAAAGAACCGGGGACTAAGACGATAAAGCAGCAACTTCTCTGAGGAGGTACGATCTTCCAACAGACTTATAATGAAAAGCTAGCTGAAAAATTTATGTCTGAAAAGTAGTTATTTCCTAAGAGTTTTAAATGCTAGCAATAAAGCCACTTGCCATAAGCAACTTGCAAGTATCAACTCAGAAATTACAACTAAAAACAATAGAAAATGAAGACACTTAAAGATGAAACTTCAAACTTCCAGCTCATGAAAAGCAAACCCAGGCAGGGGGCAATGAAGTGGAACAATTCAAATCACATCCATTTGGATTCTCTGAAGTGGTAAAAGGAGAACAAAGAAGAGGAATGAGGCTCAAGAAAAAAATCAAATCAGAAAGAGTATCCCACATAACTACTGAGATGGTGACCTTGATGAAAGGTATGGTAGTGACTCTAGAGAAGATACTGATAAAAAATGGAACAGGTTAGGAAAAGGACAGAAATCATGAACACAAAACATAAGAAATGCAATCCACGAAACAGATTCAAACATATCCAGAAGATTAAAAATTCTGCTGAAAACATATACAGCAGAATGAGCCAATGACAAAATATCAGATGTAGAAGAAAGGATTGTGGGTAGCAACCATGGAAAGAAAGATTCCTTAAAAATACAAAGGGCCTATGAAAAATACAATAGCTACTACATGATGCAAAGAACGTAAGATTGATCAGTCAATGAAAACGCAGGTAACAGCATAAATAACATAAAAAAATGTTTGCAGAAGTAATGGCAGAAAACATTCCAAGCAGGGAAGAAAAAGCGTCTGACATACAGATAATTGAGGCTTATAAAACTCCAACTAGCCATTATAAAAAATCTACATCAAGGCATACAATAGTCAATAAATTAAAAACCTATCAATAAGGCCCTGAAGGATTAACTGCTTAATTCAGTAAGAAATTTCAAGACCTAATGCTACTTTCCCTTTCTTGGTATCTTCCTGAAACAATTTAAAACATTATACTACAGCAATATATGCATACCCATGTCTGCCCCATCCCCCACCCCATACAGGGGATCAAACTCAGGACATTGTGCTTTTGAGGCAGGTGCAGCATACCCGTTTATAGTGGCAGTTTTGAAAAGGTAAATCATGAAAACAGCCCAAATGTCCATCAACTAATGAATGGATAAAGAAAATATGTTATTTTTATGTAAGAGTATATACTCTGCCAAAAAGGATAACTTTGAAATATTTCTAGCTTAATGCACGCACACTGCGGCCATACCCTTAAGTGAAATAAATTGGAAACACATGCTTAAATACTTAATTGCTTCTCTGATGGGAAGAACCAAAAGTGGAAATAAGGATAAAAATGCATAATACATAATGGGAAAAGGGAAATGTCTGTAATGAGAAGGAGAACTGGGCGGGATGGGTAGGGAAAGGAAAGAAAGGACAAGAGAAGAAAATTTAAAAAAGTAGAGAGAAAGATTTCTTTAAATGAGGCGAGGAAGGGTTGAAGGGAGGGAAGGGTAATGCGGAAAAGGAGAAACGACACATCATTTACAGATACAAACTCCCTCTGATGAATGTTATCATTATGTACATCTAAAATATATAATAGAGGATGTCAGTCTTAAATTAATGTGTATAAAATATGCAGATGGCAGGGCATGGTAGCACACACTTGATTCCCAGCACTTGGGAGGCTGAGGAACAAGGATTTCTGAAAATTCAAGCCCAGCTTGTGCAGCTTGTGAGTTCAAGGCCACGCTGAACTACACAGAAAAACCTTGTCTCAAGAAGTCACCTAAGCTGGGGCCAGGGATCTAGCTCAGTGGTGCTACTGCCTACCTTGCAAGCACAAGGTCTTCAGTTGGATCATCAGTACCAAAAAAAAAAAAGGTCACTTTAGCTTAGGAATTGAAAATTATGATCAAACTAATTCACCAGAAATACTGAAGATGCTACAATGCTACGATCTTAAACAAAGAAAAATACCTCACAAGCGCAAGGACCCGAGTTCAATCCTCAGTACCAAAAAAAAAAAAAAAAAAAATTTATAGGGCTGAGGATTTAGCTCAGTGGTTCCACCTCCTGCTTAACAAATAAATACCAAATTAACACTTCAGGTGTTTGAAAGTTAAAACTAATTTACAACTATTTTAAAAATTTCAACTGCAGAACGACAATGTATTTTGCAAATTGCAATTATGTAATGATAATAAATGTAAAGGTGACATTCACCCCTGGTAAGATGAATGGAACTCAGGACCTTGCATTTGCCAGGTAGGAGTGGTGGCACTGAACTACATCCCCACCCAAGAAAGACATTTTTTAGAAAAGGAAATTAACAATTCAAAGAGCAAGTGTTGCTTAATGAATTAGTTTGTAAGCTGTAAGATAAATTATATATGGAAAGTATATATTAACAAAATTTAAAAACCGAAAGGTACTTGAGATGTTTTATTAACTCCTTTGTCTTATACAAGAATTACAAACTAGTCCCAGTGACACAAACCTATACATACTGCACACTGGGAGTCTCAGGTAGGAGGGTCAAAAGTTTAATCCCAACCTTTACAAATTAAATCACTGATAAAAAAACAGGATGCAGAAGTAGCTCGGTCAAAAGATTCTCAGTTTAA